TGAATTTGCATTTCGATATGTGGCACTGCCCCCCGAATCTGACTCTGACTCTGACTTCGAGTGCGAGTCCGGGGCCCAGCCCACAAAACAATCAAGAAAAGCAATTGGTGCACTCCAGAGATGGAAGTGTGTTTGTGTGTGTCCTTCTAGGACTTCTAGGATCGAGCTGTGGGCCGGCCGGAAAGCATCCTCATGGCCACAGAGACAGACTGACGACGACGACTCGGACTCGGACTCGGACTCCAACTAATCGGAATCCGACTGCGACTGCGACTCCGACGCAGTCGGACGATGATGTAGCTGCACGGATTGATTTACGTTCGGAAAGATTTCTCAACTGTGCAGAATCTAACCCCCTCCCCACCCCCACACACACACATACACCAGGCAGGCAGGCAGGCAGGCAGGGTGCAACTGTACATTTTTCTATATGTTTTGTGTTTCATTTTGAGTTTTGTGTTTCTGTTGCTGCTTCTGTTTCGTAGTTTTGCCACCAACGACGACGACTGAGATTTATCAAAAGGTAATTTATATATGTGGGTGTGTGTAATTTATATATGAACCCAGCACCCCTGCATCCCCTTTACCCACTCCACCGCTGCACCCAGTGACTTTGTTTGCCCTGCTGTCTGTTTGGCTTTAGTTTCTCCTCAGAGTCCCCGATGCCCGAGTGCATTTTGCATTTTATGTACGCAACATTTTTAAGAGTATTTCGTTGGGAATAAATCGCCTGCCCAAGCATGACATATGACCGAAAAGCTTCGAGATGGAGTCTCATCCAAAGCGACTAAAGAGAGTAAAGAGTGAGTGAGGGGCAGAGGGAGGGAATGGGCAAAGTAAATAGTTTTGGGATGCAATCCGAAAGATTTCTCGTTGCTTGATGGTTTGAGTTTGAGTGCAAAAACTAAAAAGATACAAAACAAAACACACAGATAAAGAGAGAGAGAGAGAGAGAGAGAGAAAGACTGCTATCCTGTTCCTCTCTACACAGGGTGTAATCCCACCCCGGGCAAACCTTAATCTGAGTGCCAGGCAAAAGCAAATGCATAAATTCAATTTACCGAAAGAGCAACCAAAAGAAGAAAAACAAAAAAAAAATAAAGGAGTTGCATAATTTAACGCCGACCATCCATGTCCATCCACATACACAGAACACATCCAATGGATCTATGAAGGATGGGCTACGGATGGCAGATCCCTGCCATCAATGGGTGCGCTGCGCTGCGCTGCGGCATGGAGTCGCATGCAAACAAAAAAACATTGCAAATCGAATCGCGAAGCAAGCGACCAACAAACATCCATCCATTGGTTGGGCGGGGTGGGCGACAGGACATACCGAAACGTCAAGAGCACTCCGCCGACAGTTACACGCCTAAGCCCCCCCCATGAACCCCGAACACCGAGCCCCGAGCCCCAGCACTCTGGAATCGGATGAGGAGTACGATGCCACGATGCCATCATGACACGATGCCATGCCAATGGCCATGTGAATGGTATAAACATTGTTGACATTTGCCAAACCTACTTTAATCACTTTTTAACCCCATTTGATACAGTGTCAACGTGGTGCATGCATGGGGGGCATGTGCCAGGGCCAGGGCCAGGGCACGGGCACGCTACCGTGGCGGCTCATAAAATGGACAGTCCACCACTCGACTTGCGTCTGGCGCGAGCACAGCCCAGCCCCCAGCCCCCACCCCGCCCTGCCCCAGACTAGCCACATTGAATGCAGGCTGAAAGGCGGCAAAAAAATAAAAAAGAAAAAGAGGAGAAAATCAACCAACCACACTGACAAAAAATCCCAATGACAAACGCAGAAAGAAAGCAAAAACCAACAAAAGAAAACACAGCAAACAGCCGAAGCGACAACAACAAAAAAAGCACAAAAAATCCATGGACATTACGTAAAATGGGAGTCCAAATATAAGGGGGGGGGGAAATGATAGCCATAGACAGGGACATGGACATGGATGCGAACGCGGACATGGCTGTGGATGTGGCTGTGGATGGGAATGTGAATGTGGCCCTGCCATGACCCGTTGGCCCAGCTGCCAAAGCAATTGATTTACTGCACTTTGTTTGCCAAAAATTAATTGAGTTGATGACAAGTGCAATTGATTTATGCGGGACTCAAATGAGTGTGGACAGAACAGACGACGCCTGGATGGATATCAGGGGACATCGGATGGACACTGGAACTGGGATCGTTGGGTGGGGTGTTGGTTTGTTGGGTTGGTTTGTTTTTTCCCGAAATGGGGGTAATGGGTTGTCGCCATCGCCATCGGTTACAAAATGCGGGCACAAGATCTACTCATGGATTAACACTATTCCCCTGCAGTGGCACTTCCGATGGCCCCAGCCCAGCCCCATCCCCAGACCCAAGTGCAGGCATTCACACGGCAGGTGGCAGTTGGCAGTTGGCAGGTGTCAAAGCTGAAAAGAAACAGCATCCTGGCGACACCATCCTGGAGAGCCGACTCCCAAAGACCCTTGCCCCAAAAACGGTTGGAAAAAAATAATCATCACCAGGCCTACACCCCCAAGAAGACGCTGCACCGAAGGCGGCTGCCCCAATTGATGCAATTCCAAAAGTATGTCCAAAGAATATTACCAAAGAAACAATGCCCGTTGAAGGGCTGCGACCCTGGTCCGGGTCTGGGTCTGGGTCCGTGTTGTGTCACGGAAGCGTGCCGCGCACACATGTCGTCCGGCCGGGACTGGGAGCCCAGGTTTTAGGCCAAAAAAGCAACACGGGAAAACAGCCGAGGTGGCACAGAGAAAAGGGACAGCGGACAGGGACACAGGGCACAGGGGACAGAGGACAGACGCAGCGGAAATAAGCGCCAAGCGGATGCCAACAAACGAAGCAAATGATTCATTTCCGATGATGCGACAGCGTCCTGCGTTTTGCCCCATAGCCACGGCGAACCGTGTGGCTGCCTCTCCTCTGGTGTGCCGTCTGCCCACCAAAAATTTGCATGAAATGTGAAATCAAACGGCCAGCGGCTGGCTACAACAAATGTAACACACAGCACACACAGTGGTGAACGAGTGGAGCAGGAGCAGGAGCAGGAGCAACAGAAGGGGCACCATTGAACGAATTTGGAGCAGGAGGAGAAGAAGCACAAGCAGCAGCAGAAGCAGGAGAAGTCGTCGTCAGCAGGCGTCGCTGGTGTCACGTTCTCATTCACGTGCAGGTTGACGGACGCCCGTTGCCATATTTTATGACTGCCGCCGGATCGCCCTCTGGCGGTGCGGCTCTTCTCTCTCTCTCTCTCTTCTCTCTGTGTGTGTTATTGATATGCTAACGATAAATGCTATAGGTGGGTGGTGGAGTGGCCACCTCTGGATTTGACGGCTGTGCGGAAGTGGTTAAAGCGGCCTCGCCCCCGACACTGCAGCTGCTGCTGGACGACATCTGTCGCAGGCGACGTGTGAAATTTTTAGCCAAAAATGTTTGCACTCATCCCCGTGGCCATTTATAATGCCACCAATGGGTCCAGGTCCAGGTCCAGGTCCAGGGCCCAGGGAGAACATGAACATCCAGCACCAACGACAGCGACAACGACGACGACATATTGGAAATCAAAATGTTGACATGCAGCAGGGACAACATTTTTCAATTAAACCGATGACAACACACGACCCCAGGGGGCAAGGGGCTGAGGCAGCAGATGCAAATGATGGGGGGCCTAAAGGCTGCAGTTGTTAACTTGGTTAATGGATATCCATCCATCCAATCCCTCCGATTTAGTAGCTATGTTTTATAAATATACACAAAAGAGAGTGTTATCTCTGTAGAACAGGAATACCAGGAACACCAAAGGTTGGAGGTTACACGGAAAGTCTAGATAATGGTGGAATTCGGTATGAAGGAAGCCGCAGAGTGGAATACACTGTGTAGAGTCACGGAGAGTAAACGGCTGCAGAGCGAACAGAATGCTAACAGAGAGCAAACCGAAAGCGAACAGAGCGCGAACAGAGAGATAACAGAGAGCTAACAGAGAGCTAACATAAAGCTAACAGAGCGAGAGGGACAACGAAGAGAGCAGATCGACGCAAAATATTTGGTGTATAGAATTCTCTCTCAAGTCGAACGAATTTTCAATAGCGCAATTATTGGCATTTCATTAAAGCAAAACACAGCGACCGCTGTTATCACGAGTTAATCTACAATAATATACATAAATACATACATGTACACATGTACATACACTGCTGGTCAAAATAATAAGTACAGAGGCATCGTGCTGACTTTTTATGAAATATCTCGAATGTTTTTGAATTTATGACTGCCAATTGTTTATATTTGTAAAGATTACAGTTTTGCCAAACATTTAAATCAAAAACAAAGTTGTAAGCACCCTTAATTTAATTCTAAGCTTAAATTTGTGCTGGCTGTGTATGTATGTATGTATGACGATGGCGGGCAGCCGGACTGCCTTTCTTCTTCTCTTGCTCTTTGGCCTGCGGTGCGCTGAGCGCAGTGAGTCATCGCAGTTGTGTAGTGTCGTCCCGATCGTAACTGGACTCTGACTCTCTTTCTGTAAGCTGTGTACGTGTGTGTATGTAAGTAAATTCACACAACTCTCGGATTGATATGTTAGTTTCAAAGTTTAATGTTAGGAAATGATTCTTAGGTTAGGTTAGCTCTGTTAGCGTACAAATTCCAATAAAATACTCGTTAAATTTGTAAATACACACTTGGGGGAAATTTAGCTTGTGTTGTGTAAAAAGAAAACCAAAACCATTGGGCGACTGCTGTTCGTTCGGGACTGGATCGATGGATGTGCGAATGATCGGTGAGGCGTCTGTGATGCCCTCTCCGGTGGACAGCCCTCACTGGCAATTGTTCACAGATGGAACACGTGGAACATTTGCCAGTGATTGCTGCCCCGTATGGGGGGGATGGCGGTGTCGGTGAGGTCGGTGGTGTGGATGGAGGGATCCCGTGAGAGCAGTCGCTTTTTGTTGTTAGTTGTTGTTGTCATGAATTGGAACTAATTGACCACCGCCAGGACGACGGTGATGTCGTCCATCTTCTTGTGGCGAGTCTCTTTTGGTCGAGCAGCGCGTGCCATCAGGGCCAGGGTCTCCGCATACAGATGCATGCGACGGGGATCTGTGCCGCCCGCCAGTTCGTTCATCAGCGACAGCACGCACCCATCGTCCACATTGTCGAAGAAGCCGTCGGTGGCCAGCAGGAGCATGTCCTCGGACTGTGCGCGGAACTGCTGAGCCGCTGGCCGGTTGATGTCGCCATAGAGGAAGGTGCCGACACCCAAGAACGGGAGGCTAGTCGGGCAGGTCGAGACCTGCAGCTTTCCAGCGATCGAGCGGGCAACAATTTGCCCCTTGCGCACCACCAGGAAGCCGCAGCCGCCGATGCTCGTGGCGGTGACGGTGCCGGTGCGGCGGTCCAGGCTGAGCAGGCCAGTGTGGCAGCTGGCCAGGACCGGATGGCGCACCTCCTGCACGTCGCAAATTGGCCCGATGCAGCAGCAAGTCCAGGCGACGCGGATCGTGGCTGGGGCTCTGGGCCAGACGCTCGCAGGAGCGCATCAACAAGTTGCTTAACTCTCCGGCTGAGTGGTTTGAGATCCAGCCGCACTCGACGCCATCGGCCACGCCCAGTGTGTCGCCGCGGCTGGTGCTGGCCGCGAACCAGGCATCCGCCCGTTCTGCCCCAACTTGGGGCACTCTGCACGCTGCTTCGGTATGCCGCATACCACGCTCAGCAGCCGCAGCTCCTTCGGCCCGTACAGCTTCCAGCCATGCATGTCCTTTGCCCTGGCTGTGCCTCCGCCTCCGCCTCAGTCATTTGCTGTTTGTACTTCTCGATCAGGTCCTGCAGCCAGCCGCAACCCTCGACCAAGGGCTTTGAGCAGCGCACGCCGCCACCGCCGAGCATGCTCAGGCACTGCGCACCGCCAGAGGTGGCGCGTTGCATCAGGTAACCACCACCGCTGGTCACTCTGCTGACCAGCCGCAGGCCACCTGTGGAGAGCACGTGAGCCAGCTGGTATGTGGTGGTGCCAAGCCGGCTGCTGGCCTGGCCGATCAACCGACTTCCGTTTGTGGACGCATTCCGGTAGATGCGGGTGCCGCGTGCTCTGGCCTGCTCCAGCAGAAGTCCACCCTCGGCGGACAGCATGCCTCCGATGGCTGTGGTCCTGGCGATGAGCTCGTCGCCTCTGATGCTGGCCTGCTGGTAGAACTGGGCGCCGCGGCAGCAGCAGGTCTCAAACAGTTGGACGCCGATGGCGACTGCCATGGCAGTCAGCTGGGCAATGCCGAGCCGTGAGCGGTGCACAACGCGGGCACTCCGCGTGACCACGAAACCGACCACTTTGCCGCTGCACGAGATGGCAATGTTGACGATCAGCCCGCTGCCGCCCAGCACGACCTTGATTAGATGGCCGCCACCGCTGGCCGCCTTTTCGACCATCAGCTGCACGAAGGTCAGCAGGTGTGTCTCCACCCTGTGGATGCCTGCATTCAATCGCACAAGTCTGTCCATATTCTGTAGGGCACAACGAAACTGAAACGAAACCGGATAACAAAAGGGGAGGAAGGATTCCCCCAGGCACCATTGCAATTCGATAATGAGGAGCAGCTGTCATCCAGTTACGTACCATTTCAGTTATTTAAACATCAAACGATGTGGGATTATTATTATTGTGTGCTATTTTGTTTGTTTCTCGTCCGAGATAAGAAGAAATACTATAAAACTCTGAAACTCTCTTACAAATGACTAACTCTAATGACTGGCTCTGATTGTTGTGTGACGGCCTACTAAGGCCTGAAAAAAACCGGCAAAATTGTGCAACAGAAGTGGAGGACGGAGCCTGTCTCTGTACTCTACGTATAAACAGGAGCAAGTCAGGAGGGGGCTTAGCTTTCCATTCCATTCAGTACACTCCTGCAGAGTCTCGCCCTGAAGATCTAAGAATGCCTGATGGCGAGTTAGTTCCCTGTCTTCCTGTATCTCTATATTTCCATAATCATTTAGCTGGCGCCACTCTCCCACTCTCCTCGCCACCATCCACTGCACATTGCACATGGTGCAGCTTCGTCTCCTGTGCAGCTCTCTCCAGAGGCGGGGGCTCAACTCAATTATGCACAATTACGGACACAAACAGATACCAAGTGGCATGGGCATGGGCAAAGTAGGGGGGGTTGGGGTTGGGTCTGGGGAATGAGGTAAGTATGCAGATGATATCTGCACCTCTGCCCCCATACCGGATTCTGGAATGGAATTGTGCAATTTTTTGGTTGCTGGGTATATACCAGGGAAGCCCGTTGGTCCCCTATGCAGTTGCCAGTTGTTGCCGTTGCCGTTGCAGCTGCAGATGTGGCACTCGAATTGCATGCAGCTCATTGCTTGCCACTCGACGTGTATGAAGTGCTGTGGCATGTGTGGCCTGGGGAACGAACGGAGGCTAACTGCCTGCTGTCAAAATGCCATTGAATTGCTTAAATACTTTCATCGTCGTCATCGTCATCATCGTAGTCATCGCAGTCATCGCTTAATGGTTTGCCTTCAGCCTTTTTTGGTTGCCATGTCTACCCCCTTCTCGGGAGGCCCCAAAAACGATGCTGAAACATATGTGAATGGCAGGCAGAATGTTCGGAATGATATGAATAAGGGCCCTGCTTGAACGAATGACTGACTGAGTGAATGAGCGAATGAGCGATATGAAGTGCAATCAATGCAAAAATGTTTTCAAGTACCCAGCCAACCAACCAGTCAGAGCACCCAGCCAGAGCATTCAGAGCAGGAACGAAAGCTAGACAATTCCTGCAGCAGTGCCCCCATGGGGCTGGGTAATGGCCTGTGGAATGGGAACGAGGACCTATTAGATGATATTCCAGCACCAACTAGGGGGGTGGGGGTGTGTGTGTGTGGGAGTGTTGGTGTGAAAGGATTATTCACACACTATTGATTTCAAATTGGGTTGACTTCAAATCCGTTTGAATTGACAGCAGAAGCGGCAGCACATGGCAACATCGTTGCCTCCAGCTCCTGCCTCCAGCTCCTGCCTGCAGCTCCTGCCTCCAGTTCCTGCCTCCAGCTCCTGCCTCCAGCTCCTGCCTCCAGCTCCTGCCTCTTACTCCTGCAAGTATGTGAGCTGTGTGTGTGTGAGCTGTGTGTGCTGTGCTGCCGGAAGTTGACTAATGAATTTAATTTGCAGTGGGTGTTGGAGCAAATAGAGCGACAAGCGAATGGGCGAGGCAGTCAGCCAGGGAGCTGACTGATTGACTGACTGCTGTCTGCCATTCGGGCATGCCATGATGCCTCGATGCCTGTTTGACTATTTGTCTAACTGTTTGCCTCGATGCCGATGTGGATGCCGATGCCGATGCCTGGCTGATGTCTCTGGCTTGGCGCCTGCAAGTAGGCAACTGTTTTTGTTTGCCCACACAATTGATTGACATTGAATGCCACAGCAGGGGTATCATGCAGGATGCAGGAGGGAGGTATGCATTAAATGCATCTGCAATTGATTCCATACCAAAAGGAAACCAGCACCAGACATTGTCCAAAGTCCACAGCCCACACACACGCTCTCTCACTCTCTCTCTCTGCAGGCACAAAGGACACAATGGACACCGCTTAGTGTCCTTTTGGGGGGCAGCCACAATTGTTGCCTGACCAATGATCAATTTAATAGGAAAACAATATTGATAGCCAAGGGCTCCGTCTCTCCCCCAGAGAGAGAGAGAAAGTCTTCCACAAAAGCGGCAGCCGGACAGGACACTTGAAGCCCCTTGAGGCCAGTAAATGCTGGGTGCGGGGCAGGCGTAAGCGGAAGTGTTGCGGTTTCTGGTAAAGATTGGGGCACGGCACTGCACGGCACGGCACCCAAAAAGCCCCCAATGGGGGAGTCCTGGGTTTTGTTTGTTTGCCTGGTTGGTGGGTTTGGACTGGTCGGAAACTTGCTAAACTTTTGGTGTTGTGTTGTAACTAAATTTGAGCAGACACATGCGAACACACCCAGGACACCCAGGACACCCAGGACACGCAGGACACGCAGGACGCCCGGACATACACACTCGAAAGTCCCGGCAACACTTTCACTTGGCCGAACCCCCCAGCCAGCCAACCCGTTCGAGCCCTGTTTGGTTTCTTGTGGTTTATTATTCACGCCTGAATTGATTGTAAATTAAAGTTTGCCCAACCCCAACCCCAGCTCCAGCTACAGCTCCACCGCTAGCTCCAGCTACAGCTCCAGCTACAGCTCCAGCCCGCTACTCCTTGGGCCGTGTGTCCTTCGTGTCGTTGTGCATTTTGAGGTCAGCCTATGGCAAAGTTTTCTTTTGTGTGTGCATTGGGATCTTGGGCCGAGTCCGAGTCCGAGTCCGGCCTTTGTCCGGGCCACTCATCGCCCTTGTCTGCTTGGCCGCTCTCTCTCTCTCTCTCTCTCCATTTCGGGGTGCGTGCTCCTCCTGCCAGCTGTGGGTGCTTAGTCCAAGGGTCCTTGCCATATTAGAAGCCAAAAGGCATTCAAGTGCACATAAGACGATTACACATCATTTAACCGACGCACTGCAAAACTATGAGCTGCCCCGCCGTACCCCCACACAGTCCCCACAAAGTTCCCAGACCCATTGAGGGTCTGTAATTGTTGCTCCTTTGCCTTTGCTCGCTTTTATTGACTGCTGCATATTGATTATAGTTACAATGCCTTCTTGTCTTGTGCCGCCTGCCACACACTGCTTGCTGCCCCCTAGCCTCTCATCTTGCTGCTTGCTGCTTTCTACTTTCTGCTTCCTTCTTCTTCTGGCCCAAGGAAGTTCATTTTCGCCTGCTGTCGGGCATGACTTGACTTGATTGCTGGCATTTGTCGTTCTTGTTTAAAATTCAATCGCTGCACTCAAGTGTGTACACGAGATGTATTCATGTGTACATCTCCGTCTCTCTCTCTCTCTGTCTGTCTGTCTGTCTGTCTGTCTGTCTGTCTGTCTGTGTGTGTGTGTGTGCGTTTTGAGACAAAATTAATTTGGTGTTAATAAAGTGAAAGTGTGGCCTTCCATTCACAGTTTGTCTGTGCGAAATTGTTCTCAGTTCTTGGGTGTCTTTAAGGCGGCTTATATTGATTGGCATCCCACAAACTTTAAGCACACACAATCTTTGGGTGCTGTGGTGTGGTGGGGTAGTGGCGGGGGTTTTCTATTCTTGAGGTATTTATTGCCGCTGAGCTTGCTGGAGTGGGTAAATGTGTGTGTGTGTGTTTTGGCCCCCATATTGATTGGCCTCCCAAAAACTTTAAAGGAATAATTTATAGCTGAAAATTTTAGTTTCAGTTTTAGTTTTGTTAATGTTATATTTTCAAATTTGCAAAATATCCCAGACGAAGGGTTTACCTTTGGTTTCTTTTTAGATCTCAAACAAATGCATGTACGAAGTTGCTATGGATATAATATTAAAGAAATTTTCGAGACTGACTCTCGGGACATTTCTGTTACGAGCTCAGATGGAGAGGCTTCTAACTGGCTGTTATCCGAGAAATCACTGCAAACAATTTATGATATTCAGGAAACAAATTTTCAATGGAATCCAAAACTTCTCGAGGGGCCACAGATTTGTATGTGCTAGAGGCCTATCTTTAAGTACGGTTATAAAAGTAGAGTCGCGTCCAAAGAAGCGGCTCACGCGTTCCTTCTCGCTTTCTCTGCTGTTGATCTGCTGTTAATCTCGTTCTGCTGGCACTTCTGTTATTGATTCTCTGCTCTTCTGCAGCTAATATTGTTCTGCTGTTCCGCTGTTGCCGCTGCTTCAATGGGGCAGCTGATCCGCTACTTCTTACATATTTACATATACATATATTTATATACGAGTAAGTGTGAATGTATCTGCTGTAATACCAGCGAAAGTCTAACAGTTTTCATCTTTAAATCAGATCGGATACAATTACATTTGTAAGATAAAATCTGGGGTACTTGAAATTGGAAATATTTCGTCTCAGATTGTTGGCCATTGTGTCCGCCCCGTATTTATTAAGCAGATTATGACTGCCGCTAATGGCATGGAAGGCTCTGGGAGGCCTGGCACCTCGTCATCGAATTCTTCTAGTACTGGACTGGAATCACTGGATCTTGATGCTGATCAGCATTTTCGGGCTGTTAGGTTTAGCTTCCACTTCGTACATAGGAATGTGCTTGGAATGTTTTACTACAGATGTGTCAGCGGGGTCTTTCTCTGTTCCTGATCCTGTGGCTATGCCACCTGGCCGTTGAATGGGACTGTGGGCAACGTGCGTCAACTGCTGCTTCTTAAGATGCAAAACTTTGGCCACTTGGCCACATTGCTCAAGTGGCATTGAGGCAGGGACGCAGGCATGCACTCGACGGCCCTAGTCCGTGTCCGTGTACCGGTCCGGGTCCTGGTCCACCTCCTCCGATGCACAGTTGCTGTCTGTCGAGTGCAGGCGGGAGAGTGCGGCGAGAAGGGCTGCTGCTGCTCGGACATCAAAGTTGCCAACTTTCGACTTGAAGAATTTTCGACAAGGCGACTTGGAACTTTTGTTACTTTGCTGCCGAGAGCCGTTGGAAGATACCTGAGCAAAGGCAGAGGGTCAGGTGCAGGTCCAGGTCCAGGCAGCAGAGCGGCGAGCAGAGGAGCAGAAAGCTCTGCCCAAAAAGAAGATGGAATCAGAGCCAGAAGCCAGAAGTTTAATTGTTGTGTGTTGTCCTGCGTCGGCCTCCGGGCCCGGCCCAGCCCGGCCTGGCCCTGCTCCGGCTCGTGGCCCTGGAGCGGCGCTCAGGTGTCCTTAGTGGTGTTCTAATTACTAACAAACTTAATTTGCTACAAGTTATTTTCGTGCGGACACCGCCTTGCCCTTGCCCGTGCCCGTTCCCATGCCCGTTCCCGTGCCTTTCCATGGCCTGCCAGGCGCCACAGCGAACTGCATGACCATAACCACTTGAGTCGCCACTCCTTTGCCTTGCCATTCGGCTGGGACACTTAAGCCACACGCGGACCCTTCGCGCTGGAGAATGCCTCACGGAAGAGCCTCCGGTCAGGTCTTAGGGCCGAAAGAAACTTCGTGGAACTCCTAAGAGGTGACCAGAAGATTCTACACGAGATCAGAAGCAATCTTCAGCATCCAATGAAATCTGCTGCTGACCCTCCACAATCTGCCTGGGGTTGCCCCCTTCTAATTATTTGCGGACCAACCGCAGAGCACGAGCACGGGGCCAGAGCCAGAGCCATCATCCATCCCCTGCGTTTGTATCACTGGCAACGGCAGTTTTCAACCGCTCAAGGAACGACTTGTGTCTCAAGACTGTGTAGTAGACGCGGTCAGGTCTGAGCTGGGACGCAATGTCCGTTGTAAATTATGCGCTTTGGCTTACAAATTGCATGTGCCTGGCAGCATGAAGCATGTGGCAAGTCAACTGAGTGACTCCTGCCAGGACTGGGACTGGGACTGGGACTGGCCAGCATCGTCACCTACCCACCTACTGGCAGTCTCCATCTCCACCTCCATTTCTTGCTGCATCTTACGAGTATGGTGCATCTTTCGACTAATGCCTGGTCAAAGTTGTTTGCCTGTCCTGACCACCGAGCACCAAGCACCGAGCACCGAGCTCCGAGCTCCGAGCACGGGGCGGTGTATTCAAATGAGCGGCTGGCAACTGGCAACTCTTGTGTGTGTTTTGTGGCACTGCTAAACTGGCGAGGCAACTTTCTTAGACATACTTTTCTTATGGTGCCTGGTTCCTGGTCCCTGGTCGCTGGACAGCAGGGTGGCCGCCTCAAAGGCAAATATTTTATGCTTTACGTGGTTGGGTTACTTGAGAAATTACGTGGTCCGTGCACCATTCCTCCTAGGCCACTCCACCGCCTCCACCACAGCTCTTTCATTGTCTTTTGATGGTGTTTCGTCTATGCGACGGGTGGCATGGGCTCGGTAAGGGTGCGGAGGAGACCTGCACTAGTATTTAACATGAGCTGCCTAAAAGTATGCAAAGTTATTTCTTGTTCGTTGTCTCTCTCCTCTCGCTGATGATACCCTTATGTTGGTACGCTGAGAGCGTAAAGCCGTTGCTGCGAGAATATGTAACACTTATGATCCTCAAGAGCAGGCACATATGTATATATTTATGAGCAGCAGGGATCTTGGTAAATATTGCAGCCTAAAAGTATGCAAAGATAATTCCGCGAGCGTAGGAAAAAGGCAAGGCGCAGGAGATGGCATACAAAATGGCAAAAAAGGCCAGAAAGGTCAGAAATATGAAACAACTTTCCATGATTGATCAGCCAGAAGATCTTGTTGCTCTGGCCATAGCTTTTAATAGTAATTTGGGATTTATCCATGGTCTCATATTTGCATAAAATAAAAAATAAAATAAATCTTTAATTAATATAAATATAATAATAACTGATAAATATAACTGCTAAATAGCCATATAAATGCATAAAACACAACACTAATACAGGGTATCATTCGGTCTGTAGAGCGCTTTTTACTATCCTTAGTTGTGGTGCGGTGGGTTAACTTAATGTTATGTTCTAACTCTAAACGCATTCAACTTGACTTTTTATCTTTAACCGCCCACCACTGCTTGACCCTCGACATTCTCAAGCCCCCCCCGCCCCACCCACCCCCCAGCACAGCACAGCATTTGCGACTCCCCTGTAGTCCTTCGGCAAATGCTTTTGTGTACTTAGCGCCAGTCGAAAAAAAGTTGTAAAAATCGTGTAAAAAATTCTCGCACACAAAACGTGCAAAATGCGTTTTACTCGTAGATGCAGAAGCAGCAGTAGCAGGAGCAGCAGCAGCAGTCGTCCGATCTGATCCCCTACTCTGACCGGACTCTAATAATTTATTTTAATGATAATGCATGCGAGCCATTCCGGTGGCAGGTTCATGTCCAAATCTAGTTCCGTGGTGGGGAGTGTGGGATTCTTTTGGGGTTAAGTGAGTGCGTAGTCAGGGTGCGAGATGGGTTAAGTGAGTGTGTGTGTGGGGACCGGAGCGGAGCTCTTTCTCTGCCTAAAACTTTCAACTTACAACCACCCAACTCCACACCCCACGAAGCAGCCCAGAGGCTAGCCCTCGATTCAGTTTTGGGGCATATTGTTCGCCTAATGATATGCCTCAAATATTAAGTGCATGACACGCCCACTTGGACAGCAACTGGGGACAGTTGGTGGCAACATCACCGAGCACCGCCGCCGAGCAGTGGACTCGCATAGCCCATCATTGTAAAACCCTTTCGGCGGCTTCCAGCTACAAGACAAGTGCAAAGTTTTACCCACAAAAAGTTTTATGGAAGCATAAAACTGTGCATTTTTCTACAAAACAAAGAAGAAAACAACCAAAAAAAAAAAAACACAAGAAGAAAAAGAAAAAAGAAAAGGAAAGCCCACGCACACACACACCACACACACACACACCACACACACACACACACACGCACACACTAAAAGTACACAGTTAAAACAGAGTTGGTCTCACTTTTTTTTTGTTTGCCTCACCGCCCCCCCCCCCCCCCTCCCACACTTGTGCCTAAAACAAAATGCAAATAAAAAAGTTTACCCTGCGACGGCCGCTTTTTAAAAAAAAAAGGGGGGGGGAAAGGGGGTTTGGGGGAAGGGGGGGGGGGGGGGAGGGGGAGGAAAGGTTTGTACCAAAAAAAAAAAATTTTTTTTAGGGCGGGCCGGGGGGGGGGGGGGGGGGGGGGGGGGGGGGGGGGGGGGGGGGGGCCCCCCCCCAAAAGGGGGGGGGGGGGGGGGGGGGGGGAAAAAAAAAAAAGGGGGGGCCCCGGGGGGGGGGGGGGGGGGGGGGGGGGGGGGGGGGGGGGGGGGGGGGGGGGGGGGGGGGGGGGGGGCGGGGGGGGGGGGGGGGGGGGGGGGGGGGGGGGGGGGGGGGGGGGGGGGGGGGGGGGGGGGGGGGGGGGGGGGGGGGGGGGGGGGGGGGGGGGGGGGGGGGGGGGGGGGGGGGGGGGGGGGGGGGGGGGGGGGGGGGGGGGGGGGGGGGGGGGGGGGGGGGGGGGGGGGGGGGGGGGGGGGGGGGGGGGGGGGGGGGGGGGGGGGGGGGGGGGGGGGGGGGGGGGGGGGGGGGGGGGGGGGGGGGGGGGGGGGGGGGGGGGGGGGGGGGGGGGGGGGGGGGGGGGCCCCCCCCCGGGGGGGGGGGGGGGGGGGGGGGGGGGGGGGGGGGGGGGGGGGGGGGGGGGGGGGGGGGGGGGGGGGGGGGGGGGGGGGGGGGGGGGGGGGGGGGGGGGGGGGGGGGGGGGGGGGGGGGGGGGGGGGGGGGGGGGGGGGGGGGGGGGGGGGGGGCCCCAAGGGGGGGAACCCCCCCCCCGCGGGGGGGGGGGGGGGGGGGGGGGGAAAAAACCAACCAGCCACGCTGCTGCTTTCGCTCGCTTTTTTTTGTTGTTTTTATTTTTTTATTACTGTCCCAAGAACTACTTTTGGGGCTGCAGCTGAAGGTTGCCTTGGTTTGGTTTGCTGTGGCCAGGGAGCGGGCGTGCGTTGACCAATGGGAACGAAGGTCTGACCCACACAAGAAAATGTTTCGGCAGATTGCAGGGAATTTTAATCGCTTCCATTGACTTTTGACATATTGGAGAGCGCACTGTAAGATAGGTGTGCCAGGCAAAATCAGTAATCATCCCATTCCATTTTGTGCTCTAAAAAATGTTTCCTGATTTTGCTGCCTCGTCGGGGATCCGCGACGAGGGCCGCTCTCTGGTAAGTGGGATCACACGGCCACAGCTTTCTTCCAACGGGGGATCTACTTGCAGGAACTGCTGCCCCTGTTGCTGTTCCCGTTCATGGCCTTGTCCTACTCTGTGTATATTACACTGAAACTTGGCGCACTCTGCTGCCGGGTCACAGCTGCTGGCACCAAAATTCAAATGCAAATGTGTGAGTATCCATCCGCCCAAGCTTAGTTCCCCGAGTCACATAATTATGTTCACTTTTTTTTTCATCAGTTGTATCCACATCGTTTTTAATCAGCATTTGTGTGACCTTGTGGGGATTCGCAGACATTATTCAAACGTTAATTGACAAATAAATAACAAATAAAATAACAGCAACAGCCTGTGCCATGGTTTATGGCTCGTCAGAGAGTGTTTTCCCCTTAGTTAGATTCGTCACGATTGGTCACGATTTGGGCTGGGTTTTCCAGCGCCCTATCTCCGCTTAATCACGTCGACTTTCTGCTGGGGAATGCGCTCCCACAGCTGACGGTAGCCCGCGTTCGACTTGCGCGGATTGAAGTGGGCAATCGTGTCCCGGGTATAGCCCGTCGACAGGGCTGGTGCCTCTGCGGAGAATTCGCCCTCATCCACTGGATGCGCCTCATCGTTTGCCAAGGCTCCGTCCTCCATGAACTCCAGCGCCAGAGCCTGTGGAAGCACACTTGAATGTTGTATTCATTGTGGATTGGACTGTGGTTTGGGTTAAGACAACTCACCGCAGGGGGGCTGAGTGAGGGGCCCATGAGGAGGACTATCAGCAGGGGCAACAGGGTGCAACGGTAGGCCATAGTCAATATTTGGCGAATTCCTCACAACATTTTCCATTGACCAACGAAACTTGACTGACCAACACACGACAACGACATCCAATCCGACTTCCAATCGGCTCCACGTGTGCCGCATACCGAAAAGCTTCGTTGACCCTGCCAAGTGGTCGGCCAGCGTTTTATTTTTAGCGTAGCGCGTCATTCGCTGCCACTCAAGCCTCATAGCCCAACCTCTTCCACGCCCCCGCCCTCCAGCAAAGCCCATAGTTTGGCCAAGCACCGGCCGGGCACCTCTCTCCCAACACCCCACAGCACAGCAGCAGCAAACGGTTGACTCATCCGTTTGCTCGCTTTAATGACTGGCAACTGCTTGGCCCAGTGAGCAGCAAACGCTGCACTGAGCGAAAACTGAGCGACACTGCACTGATGGAAAAGCAAAGCAGAAGCAATGGAAATGTTCCAACAATCCCAATGGACAGCCTCTTGGTTAATTAACAAATAATTCCCTGGAATCCATTGACAGATAACTTTGAGTAGAGATGGTATAGATTTCCTCCACCTATGGTAATTTATTTATCAGCGAGTAATTTCGTTCAGTGTCGCACAGCGCAATTGTTTATAATTTTCACTCATTTGATTTGTGTGCGTGTTTAATTTCCATCAATGGCTGTGCAATTTATTGACCAGAACGCCAGACCAGGACAGAAAAGGTGTCGCAAATGTCCGGCCATTCGTGTGATGAATGATGTCTGCTGTCTGCTGTCTGCTGTCTGATCATTGATCGCAAAGCAGAGTGTCAGTGTGAAATAAAATTACATTTATGAGCTGGAAATGGAAATGGAGAAGCCTGAAAGATTGAAAGTATCAAGTATCAAGAGTCACGATTCGTATTGAGTGCACGACGGACTGCAGTGTGAAATGTTTGCAGCACGGAGTCCTGATACGGACAGTCGTCCCGCCGCCATAAAAAGGCCCAGCTGAGGTGAGTCCAACATCAGTTTCCAGCCATCACCAGTCCAAACCAAAATGAAGCATTTCCTGGCTGTCTTGGGCCTGCTCCTGGCCCTCAACTGTGCCCCGGCCTTCGCGGCAGATTCCGGTGTAAGTTCCCACTCAGAATCCTCTCCCTCTCCGACCAAGTGACATCTTCCGTTTGATAATTTAGCTGTGCGAAAAACTCTTTAAATCGGCCAGTGACTTTTGCGAAAAGGACCTCTTATTTACCGGATTAGCTGCGCAGAGATTGAAAAGGTAAAAGACGCCCAAGAAGTAAGCCAAAAAGAACTCCCAACTAATGCACTTCTCCGACAGGGCCTCGAGTTTTTTACGAAGCAGGTTCAAAGCGGCCAATCGCAAATCTGCAAGATCCCATTCATTGGGTTTCTCTGCAAGCCCTGCGAAGACTCTGGCTCGGAATCTTCTAAGCCGGCAGATGCATTGAACGGCACAGCTCCGGCCGCGGATGCTGCTGCCAGTCCTGCCGTTCGCTCGCATCACAAGAGATCCCTGCCAATAGCCAACCGTGAATAGTGGAACGGAACATTCTCCTTGGAGCTCTTTATATATGTATTCTATTCAATTTATTCCCCTAATATCTATCCCCGTTCTCTGCACCTTGGCATGCCAATAACCTAAATATATATTTCACCAGCAATGCAATTTTAATAGTTATTATTCTCCCTCCTTCCCTACCGCTCAGTCTGTGCTCAGTCCATCGATCATAGCCATGCCATGCCCCCACAGAACCCACTAATTTCGTATGCTTAATCACTCGCGTGGATTCCACACACCTTTGCAGGAGTTTCAAGTAAAAATTCAATTAATCGCAGCCTTATCGGTGACTGCATCTCGCTCGTGCCACTCCATACTCAGCACAGAATGGAGATGGAACTGGGAATATGTACCCACTCGCAGTGTATTTAGTGGACACAGTTAGAGATCGTTATCCAATTAGTCAAAAGCTCGTGTAATAAATTGCCCGAATTAAGGTGCGGAATTTTAATTACATAATTTACGCGTGCGTTGCGTGGACATCGATGATGCGATGCGCAAGGGATGGTCCGCTTCGCCTTTGGCAGCCACAGAATTGAACGGGTGCGGGGGAGGGACGGAGGACCCAAAAAACAAAGGCCAGCAAACAAGCGAAAAGAATCGAGCAAATGAGAGCGCCGTGCAGTCAAAGTGCGTTTGATAGCTCATCTTAATAGAAAAGTACACGCAATTTGTGTGTGGTGCCACGGGCCCACGGGTTGACGGGTCTACGGGGGTCATTAGAAAAATGACAGTAATAACAATAATTATGAATTTTATCCGATTAGCGGGAAGAGTTGGGACAGCCAGCCAGCCAGGCAGCAGGGGTGTGTGTAAGTCACAAGTCAGTGGGGGGAGGAGGGTAGCACATATTCAAATATTTAGTGCAATGCGTGCCATTGAACAATTAATTCTTATCTAGTTGGGCTGATGCAACAGTCCCGTACACAGAAGCTCCTCCTTAGCCACTGACTTCTGCTTGCTGTGGCATTTCTCACATGTCATCGTCATCGTTCACCTCGTTCTCCTCGTTTCCTGTACCGCCAACTGTGGGCCAATTGCGTGTCAAATGCGCTCAATTTTGTTATGACAATGCGATGTAATTAGAGGCCACGCATAGGCCTCTGCTACTGACGACGATGATGATGACCTGAGCCAAAGCCCCTAATATATGATGTCCCCCCCCCCCCCCCCTCCAGTACCAGTACGAGTCCTGCTCTATGTCCTGGCTCTTTGGGTGTGTTCGCGCACTTGATAAATATTGTAAATGGGTGCTCAAGCCCTGGCCCCCTGATGATGACCGAAGTGTGAATGACAGTGGCCCACCTCAGGGCTCTAAACAGAGGGTTCAGTTGGGCATTTGCATATAAACAATTTCCCTACCGCCAGCAGGGAGTTTTCTGTTCGGTTTTTGCTTTTTTGAACGATTTGCAATGTTTAAAATGAGCAACAAATCCATTCAATATTCGTACTTGTGGTTTATGCATCAGATGTTCTTTGGCTCGCACTGGCACTCGTTTTCGTATTCGTTTTCGTGCTATTGGATTGAGTGCTTTGGCCGAGGCGCATACCTTCAAAATCTGTGTGGTCGCGGGCGAAAGCGAGTCGCAGGCAACTAATTAAAACCACTTAGCAAATGCTTTCTCAACTGTAAAGTTAGCTATAAACAACGAACATCCACCCTAGCCCGAGCCCACACACACACACAACCACACACAGGTGTGTAGGGCGAGAGACATATGCAACTTGAAACAAAATTAAAAAGCAAAAAGCAAATAATTTTCATGGCATTTCGCAGCAGTTGTAGAAGCAGCCGCAACAGCGGCAGTGGACTGCAAAAAAAAAAAAGAAACACATGTGGGGAAAATCGGCAAGGAAAACATGAAATTCCAGCATGAATCCAAATAATATTACAACACCTGCGAAACCGTTTTGAGTGGGCCAACCAAAAGAGAAAGAGCAAGAGAGGGGCAGGGGGGCAGAGGCTGTGGCAGGCAGGGTTTGGGGCATGCACTCACACTCGTGGCAAAAAGGGCTTTTTCTTGAAAAACCGCTCCACTGGAATTAATTAATTCGCCGTTGACGCTGCAGCAAAAAAGCAAAAAAAAGCACAAAAAAAATAAACAAGAAATGCGAGAAAAATCAGTCAGCGAAATCAAAAAGATATACCCCCCCTCACACATGTATATTAGGCTGCCTTTTGTTTTGCCTCTTTTTTTTTTTTTTTGGGGTGTGGGTTTTTTTTGGGGGGTGGGGCCCAACATTTTTTGGCCCAGCCTAATGTACATTGCACTCGCACACTCCGTAATAGACGAAGCCACAGAGACCCTACAAATCTAAGCAAATAAATCAGAGTTATTCTGGGGCTGGGAGTTCCACAGGAGCTCCCCTTGTAGAGCCTGAAGCCTGAGCCCTGAACTGACACCAGTTTCCAGATCCCAGATCTAAATTAATTCCCAGTGAAATTAATAAATTCTAAGTGTAATTTTGAAGCCAAGAGATGGATCCTCGGATGTTAGATTCGTGCCAAGGCCCAACCGCATGCATGTAGCGCAGTGTGAGTATTTGTAGTATTCATTTAGTGAGTGGCGTGAATAAAAATTCACCTCACCTGCCGTGTGTGTGTGTGTGTGTGTGTGTGTACTCGTATCCTGCGACGCATGTTCAAGCTGCAAACGCATACAATTTTTGATTCTGATTTGCCTCTGTGTGTGTGTGTGTGCAAATTTTCTGCACTGGTGTGTGTCTCCAGCTGCAGGTGTAGTGGCACTTGCTGCTCATTTTATGCTTCGATTGGCACAAAAGTGCAGACGCTTTTTGCCACAGCTGAAGCTGAAACTGAAGCTGCCGCCTGTAACTGCAGCAGCAGCATCAGCAGCAGCATCAGAATTTCCATCTGCCAAAGCACAGATGGAACATACATATGTGCACGTCTAAGTGTTGCTGCAGCAGTGAGTGAGAAATGTGTTAAGGCAGCCGTCAAAAGCGAATCAAAGATCAAAGTTCCTGGCCAATCGCATTTCAGTGCTGCATACTTTGCGGCTGCCATCGATAAATGATTTCTCCAACGATCGCTTGTACAGCTTCTACAGCTTTTCGATTAATTTTCGAGGGTCGCAAAATGAAAGCCATTCATTTAATATTTTTTTATTTATTTTTTGACTGGAATTCTCTTTATTCCAAAGTCTTCGAATGATCTTTCGATGCCTCAAATATATTGAAATCATAAATTCAAGACCCCTGAGCGCCAACTAAGCGATCTCCACTGTGGTAAAGACCCAAAAACTCCGCTGAAATTATTTTTTTTCGATGCGTGGCTGACCGCGAGATAGGAATCTCTGTATGAATTTTTAGTCTCAGTTCATTACCCCAACCAATCGTTGGGGCGTGGAGAGCGAAACGCTTACAGCCATTAATGACCCATGAAGGCATTTCCGATCTAGATGGAAGCGGGCCTATAAAGAGGCCAAATATCGTATATCGCCACCATAAAACCGTACACCACGCGATGGCATATCCGATCTGTGCGCTGTTGTACCTCGCTCTGTTGTTGTTGTGCCTGAGCCAGAGCTGCTGGGCGGCTCCTTCAGGCGATGACTTGGCCAAGTTTGGGGAACTGGAGCGCACCATCAAGGAGCTGACCAGCTCCATACTGACCATGAGTGCAGGCGGAGCAGGAGCAGGAGCAGGCGGAGCAGGAGCAGGTGAGTCCCGCCCACCAACCACTGATCGATGCACACCAAATCCCACACTCTGTGTCCTCTATGTGCAGGCCTGTTTGAGCGCAGTGCTGGCGATGTCCTGGACGGCCGGGATGCAGGCAACAGTGGCTGGACCGAAGAGAGTCGTGCCTAGGCGGATGCAATGTCCTTGGCCCTCACTCGGCTCAAACTACTAAACGGCGTTTAGCAGCTCTGCAGTTTATCCCTTGAATCCATAATTATTATTATAATTTTTATTTTTTTTTTCTTTGTTTCCATTTAATAAAACAGCAATGATAACTGTGACTGATATAAATCTTCTCCAATGATCGCAGTCACCCCCAAGTCAGCCGAAAAAATCGTATCAATTCTGGCAAATTGAGGTGCCGCCGCCACGGCCTGGCCTACATAGCCTACATTTCAATCCAAACAGATGACAGCGGCAGGCGGCAGGCGGTCGGCTGTCGGCGGGTGCAAATTGCCAGCTAAATCTAATCAAGTTAATTTACGCAGTCGCACCCCATTCCACATTGCCCATTGCTCAGTGGTCAGTGGTCAGTTCCCACTGGCATTACCCATTACCCATTTCCAATCTCTCGATGCACAGCCTCAAAGCTGAACGCCAAGTCAAAGACAACGCTTTCGGCTGCTTAAGTGCCCCGATGGCGACTGGCGACTTTGTGGATCGGCTCAATTAGCTAGGCAATGGGACTGACCGGGGCGCAGATCAGCTGGCAAAAGCTGCTTGCTCGGCAGTCAGCCATCCGCTGTTGGATCAGCAATGGCTGTGGGCTATGGGCTATGGGCTATAGCTGTCACAGCGTTGGTTCCGAGTGTCGAGTGTCGACTGTCGAGTGCTGAGTGTGTCATAATATCATTAATACTAATAATAATACTTTAGTTGGTGTGTGGCAACAACAACAACAACTTGCGAGTGTTGCCGTTGGAGCTGCCACTCTAGCTGAACGGCAGGGGAGGAATGGACGGATGGACGGATGGACGTGCGGATGATAAAACAAATCTAAATCAAAGTGTAACCAGATGCTTCACAGAGCCGCGGCTTCCTTCGGTGTGCGGCAGTCACCTCTGATGCGTGCCACAGAACGGTGCGGTCAGTGCGGTCAGTAACACCTCCAAGAAATTCGATCGGTAGTGCCATATATATATACATATATAGTTATTTTTTTATTGGTTTTTTTTTTTGAGTGTTAAAGAAATTTTCTCAGCAAAAATGCATGTGGAGGAGCTGCGCGCCAGTCTGCAGAGCTTCGGCTGGCCGGACTATCTGGTCTTCTGCATGATGCTGGCCATCTGCGCCGTCATTGGCATCTACTTCTGCCTGCAGCTGCGTCGCGAGTCCCGCAAGCAGCGGCTCAGCGGCGGCGCCGAGGAGGCGGCCAGCAGCGCAGCCTCCTATCTGGTGGGCGGCAGGCAGATGAAGATATTTCCCATCACCATGTCGCTGATATCGAGGTGGGTATTGGGGCCTGATTTGGCAGGCAAAACAAATACATGGAAAATGCAGTGGAGTCTGATCCGCAGGAGAGAAGAGTTGCCAGATAGAACAGTCGAAAGTAGCTATAAAATAATACTCATTCACGTATTGCCTCTGAGCGGATCGACAGACGGGCCTGTTCCATTTACCCATCTGCCCATCGGTTGGATGCCTCTTCCCCCAGTTTGGTTCGTTATTTGCTCCAGTTTCTGGCTGTGGCGTTGGGTTTTATTTTTAGCAAACTCGCTCCTCTATCAACGCACAAAATCGGAATGTTTCATAATTAATAATTGGCCCGCAAAAGCTGGGCTCCAGGGATTGCCTAACGTCGCTAACGAACCAACTAACCCGCATGCAGGGCATCCAAATTGACGGCGCTCAATTGTCCGCGCGACTGAGACTGAGACTGCGACTAAGATTCTGGGGACAATTTAAGCGACGACCAAGCGACGACATTGGTGCTAATTGAATTGTATAAAACGCACTTTGATCTCCCCTGAGAGATGACAGAGAATGGCAAGGGGGCGACAGTATTGTGAAGGTCAAGGCAATTGGGCTGAAAACTCTTTCTTTATTTCTTTCCTTTCCTTTCCTTTGTTTGCTTCAGCTTCATCTCGGGCATCACGCTGCTGGGCACACCCACGGAGGTGTATCTGTATGGGGCCCAGTACATGTACATCATGGGATCGCTGGTGCTGATGGGCTTCTGCATGTACTACCTCTTCCTGCCAGTGTTCCACGAGCTCAATCTGATATCCACATATAAGGTAAGTCTGGACCAACTCCCACTTGACTCCCACGACTCGACTGAGGGGTTCACCTTTTGCAGTACCTGGAACAGCGCTACAATCGCAGTCTGCGGCTTTTTGGCTCCGTCATGTTCATTGTGGCTTCGGTGAGTGTTTCGCAATCTGCGGGCTGTTGTTGTGTTTTTTTTGTTACATGAGCTTCCTTGTGCAGCTGCTTTGGCTGCCGATTGTGATCTATGTGCCGGCCATAGCCTTCAACCAGGCCACCGGGGTGAACATCCACATAGTGACGCCCATTGTGTGTGTCGTGTGCATCTTCTACACGTGCATTGGCGGGCTGAAGGCGGTCGTCTGGACGGACGTCATCCAGACCATCATCATGTTCGGTGCGATGGCGCTGGTGCTGATCAAGGGCACCCTGGACATCGGGGGACCGAGCGTTGTGTGGCAGAGGGCCCAGGAGACGGCGCGCCTGGAGAGGCCCAACTTTGCGCCGGACATCACCGAGCGGTACACCTTCTACTCGCTGGTGCTCGGCGGCGTGGCCCACTGGCTCAAGTCGAATGCCATCAGCCAGAACATGATCCAGCGCTACCTGTCGCTGCCCACCCTCCGAGATGCCCGCATCGCCATCTGGACCTTCATTGCCGGAGTGCTGGCCTTCCTCATGATCTGCGGCTATACGGGTCTCCTCATCTACGCCACCTACGCCCAGTGCGATCCCCTGGAGACCAAGCTGGCCCAGCGCAACGACCAGCTGCTCCCCCTGCTCGTCATGGAGACCCTCGGCTCGTATCCGGGCCTGCCCGGTGTGTTTGTGGCCGGCGTCTTTAGTGCGGCGCTCTCCTCGCTCTCCACCGGCCTCAACTCCCTGTCGGCCGTCGTGCTGGAGGATTTCGTGAAGACCTTTCAGGCGTCAGCCGCTAACCGAGGGCCAAACGGCCTTCGTGATGCGCAGCGTCGTCGTCGTCTTTGGCATCGTCTTTGTGGCGCTGGTCTTTGCCGTGGAGAAGCTGGGCGCCGTCCTCCAGCTGACCATCACGCTCTCCTCGGTGGCCAATGGGCCGCTGCTGGGCATCTTCACGGCCGGCGTCATGCTGCCGTGGGTCAACTCCAAGGGAGCGCTGCTCGGCGGCTTCAGTTCGCTGCTGGTCATGGCCTGGATGTGCGTCAGCGCCCAGCGGGATCTGGTGACGGGCAATCTGGTCTACCAGCGCAAGCCCTACTCCACGATGGGCTGCAACTACACCTTTGCCGGCGAGCCGGGCAACTTTGCCAGTCCTGCCGCTGGACGGTGCCTTCAGGTGAGGTTTTCCCCTCATTTTCCTTGACATTCTCAAGCTGAATCTTCATTTTGTGTTCTCTCTGTGGCAGCCATGAGGCACCCAGTGGGCCGTTCCAGCTGTATCGCATCTCCTATCTCTACTTCACGCTCTTCGGGGCACTGCTGACCATCGTGGTGGCGCTCGTCACCAGCCTGCTGCTGCGGGAAACGGACCTGGACGCCGTCGACACGCGGCTGCTTACCCCGTTCGTGCGCCGCTGGCTGGAGCGACGTCGCCAAAGGCAATCCCAGATCCCCAGCAGGACGCCAGCAGATGGACTCAAGCAAAAGGCTCCTCCCATGCAGGAGACGGCCACGTGAAGCGCAAGCGAAGCGCAAGCTGGCTAACCAGCAGCAGCTGTGGGTGGATGAATGTTCCTTCGGTTCCTTAGCTTAGCAAATATTTAAAATAAAACACAATTCATAATTATTTGGGGCTTTGTGCCTGAGAGAAACGGAGAGAAATGGGTTCAAAGCGGTTCCCTGCTATCCTCTGTACATAATTAGAAAAATGCCCGCAGTTATGGTCCCATTCCTGGACCCATCTACCCATGTACCCATATACCCGTAGCCAGAGCCAGAGCCAGAGCCAGAGCCGGACTCAGACCGTACGCACAGACGACCCGACAAATCAAAGAGCTGCCCTGCCCTGGCTGCCCAAATAGAAAGCGTAAAAGGGAAAAAATACAACAACAGCAAAAAAAAGGGGGAAGGGCGTTCCCACTCACCCCTTGGATGGGAGGCCGCTTTCAAGTGTCAGGCACAAGCGATTGGGTTTTGGGTCAACTCTCCACCTCTTCCTCTCCACCCCTCTCTCGGCTGGTTGCATGTGCCAAAGGGTACCCCCAAAAAGGGTTCTTGCGTTAGTTTTACTGCTGGCTGCCATTAATTGAATATTTACTGCTTTTCATGTGTGTGGTCCAACTATTCCGTTCCCGTGCCTGATCCTGCTCCTGCTTCTGCTTCTGGGTATGTAGTATTTGTATGTTTAGGTCGTTTATGCATCAAATTGAATTGTTAATGAGCTGACAAATGTTTGCAAAATTAGTTTCTGCCCCAGCCACGGACTTGCATCGATGAGAGCAGCCCCTTGCCAGCGCCCCTGCAGGGCGTCTCCTCAATCCAAATCCACTCTCTCCAGTTCTCTCTCTCCAGTTCTCTTTCTACAGTTCTCTCTCTACAGTTCTCTCTCTACAGTTCTCTCTTAATTAGCCAACTGCAATAATTATTTTGCACACAAAAGACAGCGGCAAAATGTCATCAGAATGCATAATGACAGCATCCGAGCTGGGCCTTTGGACAGGTGCAAATCTCGGCAGAGCGGTGGGGCGCGGGGTGGGAAAGGCTGTGGCACCACCTCGTGGCATATTCAAAAACTATGTTGTATGCATGGCCAGTGACAGGAGCATGAAAAGGAGCAGGTGGAGGGATTGGGACAGGGACAGCGACAGCGACAGTTGTCATATGGGTGGATTGTTTTTTGGTCAGGGCAGGAAACGGATGTTGGCAGCGCTAACGTGCCATCCGAGCTGCCGAGCTGCCAAGCTGCCACCACCAGCAACAACTGCAGCAACTACAGCAGCTCCTGGCCAACAGCGACAGCCACAAAAGGGCAAACAACTCCTCGCTCTGTTAACTTGTTTATGTCGCCGTGTTGCTTTTGTGTTACTTTTTTATGCTGGAATATAATTTGCCCACTCCCTTCACTCACTCTCACTCTATCACTCTCTCTCTCTCCTCTCCCTCTCTCTCTCTATTTCTGGGTGGAGCATGGAGCATATGTGTTCTGTAAATGCCCTCGAATTGGAGTTATTTTGCTTATATTTTTCAGAAATGGAACTGCTGTGAAGAGATCTGCATTTGAGTTGAAACATTCGTTTTTCCTTAAAAGTTTTATTTGGATAATATTTGAAGTCTTTTTTGTATGCCAGCTATATCTTCACTGATTTCTTAAGTAATTTTTTTATAATTTAATTTTATTAATTAATAATATAGTAAATAATAAAATAATAATATTAAATAATAATAATTATTATTATAATATTATATTTTATTTTTATTTTATATGTATATAATTCCTTTTGAAATCTTCGGCATGTTTGCTCCTTCTTTGCTATGCTTTCTTCGCTATTCTCCTATTCTAAGTTCTTTTAATGGGTTTATTCAGCATCTTAAACCTTTTACATATCAAATACCAAATGCGATTACATATTTAATAATATTAAATAATATTTAATACGCTGCTAATTGTTGCTAATATTTTTAAAGAATTCCCTAGAGAATTTTACCGAGAATTGCTTTTAATAATTTTTAATATTTTGAATTCTTTTTTTTTTTTCTTGATGCCAGCCTTATCTTCATTCAATCTCTACTTTCAATCTTCTCTTTTTCCTTCTGGGCTCTTGTATTATTATTTTTTTGGAATATTTTTCTTTGGAAACTTGATCTATTTTTGTTCTCTCTGATCTTTGATCTCCTGCTCTGATCTTGGTCTGCCAGCATCTGCCAATGGCAGTAGTTATTCCATTCCATTGCTTCCTCGCTATGCCAGCAAGCATTTTGCTGTTAGAGCATTCCATCCGCAGCTGTACCTTTGGGACACTTCTCCCAGCAAAGCCACTTGACATGTAGTTCGCCACCTCTGATCCCCTGCCTCACAGCGGGCAGCCCTGTGAGCCCACTCCAGCCTCCAGCCATATAAATGCCAGTGACAATTTGCAATGGGTTTACCCCTGTGCTTACCCCAATCCCACTCCCACTCAAATACCCCTGTCCCATTGCCTGGCCCTGCCGCTGCCACTGAAGTGTAGTTTATTTTTTTTTCTTGTTTTTTTTTTTGTTTTGTTTGAGAGCAGGCACAAAAGTCATTTTTGATTGTTTTCATGAAAATGAGCATAGAAAAATTATAATTAAAATTCATATGGAAATTGTCGGAACAACAAAATGGAGGAGAGAACAATGGGCCATGGTTGGGCTGGGCTGGGCTGGGCTGGGCTGTTGTTGCTGTAGTTGTTGCCGGCAACCGAAAGATTCCATCTGAAAGGACCCAAGAAATGCACTGCCCGAAAGGTGGTGGCAAAGGAGAATCTGCGGGTTTATTGTTTGTGGGGAAACATAGGTTCCACACTCACCCGGCCCTCACACCTCTCACCTCTCAGCCCACCCAACCCCAACCCCAACCCCACCCTCATGCCTCATTCTGAACAATCTTTTCCTGACTGCCAAAACAATGTCAGCTTACAGAATTAGAAGGAACGGAATGGAACGGGTTGGGGGGTCGTTGGTCTCTACCTACCTCCCTCTCTACCTGGGCTCTCCACATTTCCACAATGGTCTGGTCTGGTCTAGGTCCACGGTCCAGGCCCAGTTACCAGACCCTGGCCAAAACGCATGCCGGCTGCTCATTTTCTTGTTGTCGTTTCATTTTTGGCACTTTTTGTGCGATAAAATATTTAATTATATTCGGCAGCTTCGTTTGTGCATTGTGCGGTCTGCCTTTGGCCCATTTTGCTCTTACATTACCTTGGGGAGAATGAGGAACTGGAGGATGGATGAGACTGTGAGACTGTGGAGTGCCTCTGAAATTACATTTCGAGTGGCTGCTGGAGAGTATGCCATTACCATGATTCGCGCCTTTCGCTTGGGTTCGGCTGTCCGAGCCTTTTATTACATTCGAATACACAAATCTAATTCAAATTCCAGCGCATCTTCAGCCAGTGGCCACTGTGGTGGCCGCCGTTGTCGTTGTGGTGGTCGTCGTCGTCGTTGTGGTCGTCGTCGACGTTGTCGCCAGCGGCCGCTTGACTATCGTTATCCGAATGCAGCCAGCATGATCCACATGCTCGCCAATGGGCGCTGCTGCAACGCTGGCGAGGCAGAGCAGGGCCAGCAGCAGGAGTGCTGGTGGCATCGTCCTCATCGCATCAGTTTGTGTGGAAAACTGATGGCGGCTCTCGCACCGCCGTTTGCTTTATAGCGTATTTCCCATCTTGGCCAGCAAAAAGGCGAGGTGAAATGGGCTTTCCGTTCAACTGGAACTGGAACTGAAACTGAAACAATAAACAATCGGGTATGCTGTATCAACAAATGCAAAACAAAACAAAACAAAACAAATTGCAGTCTCACCTCAGTCATGGGTCACGTGCTGCTCTCTCCACCGCTCTCTCCACTCCACTCCACCGATCCGTTCTCTGCTCTGCGCTGCTCGGGTCAGATAAACGTAATTTCTCCGTCATTCGCCTAATGCCGATGGCAATCATCTGGTGTGTACTACGTAGTTCCATCGGGCTTGCATTGAACCGTCGAACTATGCCAGTTTTTTTTTTGTTTATCCAGCTTCCCGTCAGATCAACTCATTCGGGAAAAGAGTATGCGGCAGGGCAAACAAACTGAAAATATACTTTGGTAGATGCTTTGAGCGGAGCACAAGATGTTTGCCACCAGCATTTGTAGTTTAATAAAGGCCAAAGGAAGACCGCACAATGCACAAACGAAGCTGCAAAATAATAATATATATAATATAATATAATATAATATAATATAATATAATATAATATAATATAAATATACATATAAATATACATATATATTTTATAGTTTAATTTGGCAGCAATTTAATGCGCATAATTAATACGCCCCTAATTAATAACGAATCCAAACTGGCAATGAATCCCACGAAATCAGAGCATTAAAATTCCAAGTGATCTCTGAAAGCACCCTCTCTCGCCTAATAATCACACTTACTTATATCTGAACCAAATCAATTTCCCCTCCTTTAGTTTTGCCATTTCATAATCTCGCATAGTTCTAGGTGGGCATAAACTTCTCTGGCAGTCGAAGTCTTCATACGTAAATAAGTATTTTTCAGGCACTTCGTTATTCAATTGCATTCTAGTTCTTGGGACTTTTCTCCCTTTCTCGCTTAATAATAATACAATTGATATTCTCTAAGCAAATCGATTGATTGATTTCTGCTGTGTGACAATGTTCTCTTTATTCTGAAACTAGGGAGTGCGTATAATGGCTACATAGTTAAGGGTTCATCATGTTCGGGGGTCATACGTATCCAAGGGCCGTATCCAGCGCTCTGCTAGCCGGAGGCGGCTGTGGTGCTGGGTGGTGGCGGCGGTGGAGCACCACGTGGTGGCGGCGAACCCGTTGAGTTGTGATGGTGGCCCACACCCTGCAGTGCCTGGCCCAGGCCATGGCTCACTCCGGCGGCCGACAGATGCTGAAAGAGAGTGCAATTTTGGAATTATCTGGGAACAGGAACAACTTGCGGGCCTCGCTCACCAGCAGACAGCAGCTCAGGACGAAAGCAAACAGCAGATAGAGACGCATCTTGGTGGAGAACAGGCGGTTCAATGGATGACATTGGCTTCGAGGTTGCCGCTTATATGGGCCGCTCTCCCATGGCACAGGGCGCGTCATGCCCACCGTAATTGCAGCCGCAATTCGAATGACACATTAAAAACCTAATTGAGGTGTTGATTTTGTAATATTATTTCAATTGGGAGCCGCAATTATCGAGTGCACTGGAGCCGAGACACTCGCTCTCAAACAGTGGGCTCCGAAACGCTGTGGGAATGTGGGTCTCGGTGTGGCTATTTTTAGCCATTTATATGTACACACATGGACCAGTTTATCGCCTCCTATATGTACGAGTGTGTGCATATGGAATTCTAAAATTCCTTTTATGGTATGGGGTCTATCAATCCGATTTTTTTTCATTCAACGGCTAACACAGCCTGTGTTCTTTGTTGAGAGAGATAAAACAAAAGTCTTTAAAGTATTTAATTTTAATACTGGAGACTGGTGTCAGTACAAATCTTAGTTCCATTGCCCTCTGGCATGCCGAAAATTCTACTTCCGTTTCGCTGGTACAAATATATATATGAACCATTTAATGTTTAATATATTGCTAAATGCTGAGGTACGAAATCTGTCTATACAAATTGAAGTATCATCAAATTTGAAATAGATTGTCCATTTCTCGACTTTTAAGCGAATGCGAATGTACCCTAATGGACAGTTTTTTGAATGTGGAGTCCATTATGGTAAACAATATTTTTTATATATTTATATTTAAATCCGTTTATCCATTTGTTTATTAAATATTAAAAGTATATTAGATATACAAAATAACAGTTCTTCTGATATTGTGGGGCAGGCTTCTTAAAAAAGTGTCACCATACTCAAGGTAAAGGGTATGTGAGCTCAGAAGACACTAAGAACTAAGAACTAAGTTCTAGGAATTAGTACAATAAATAATAAATAATACTAGGGAATGAACAAGCATACAATCAAATATTTGTGTGTGCAGCTAGGTTGCTGTCGCTCGGCTCGCGTCCGTCATAGACCGAAAGTGGCGATAAGAAGCCGAGCGACCGAAGCACACGAGCCGCAGAATCGATCCACATATATGTATACTGTATAGTTAGTACCGGCAGTACATATGTATGTCTATATGTGAGCTTATTATTTATGTTGAATTTTTTAATAGTCAAATAAATATTTTATCTGTTTCCATTTTCGCTACACTCCCCCCCCCCGCTCTAGCTCTTATTGTCTCTGAGATGAAGTCGTCGAATAAGACGGACAGACAGACTTGGGCATATCGACTCGGCTATTGATGCTGATCAAGAATATATACACTTTATGGGCTCGGAAATGTTTCCTTTTGTGCATTACACACATCCACTTTGACCACAAATCTAATATATATCCCAAGCTCTTCGAGTACGAGCATGGGGGTTTCCAAGGAACAATCTTAGCATTAACAATCCAAATCATTAATAGAAGATTATTTAACATAAGATTTGTCGAAAGATCAGGGAAAAGAGGAGCCGAAAGGAGGTCCATCGCATTTTTGAATTTTAAAAACGAGAACCTTAAATAAATAAACAAAATTAGTATCACAAATACATATACATTTAATATATTTATATAAATATGTGTGTATGTATGTACATATATCGCCTATAAAGCAGCCCCATCGATGGCCATGCTGACAGGGAAACCGCATTAGCCAGCCACTCAGGCACACGTCCCTATCAATAACGAATAGTAATGCCAAACTAATGAAATGTGTCCCACAATTGATGTCTCTGAAAGCCGTAAGCCAGTCGTGCCTCGTCGCCAGACATTTGATGAACTGCCAGGACATGTCTGGTGCTGGTCCTTGGACTGGGACTAGGATTGGCATTGGCATTGCGATTACGTTCATAAGATAAGCATAAACGTGTCGGGAAACTTTTATTGCCCGTTGCGTACCTTTTCCATAGATGAGGCAATGCAGCCACCCGCAACCCCCAAACCCAAAGCAGATGGATGGATGAAATCATGTAACTGAACTTTGACTGATTTGGCAGGGAGGCAGCGGAGGCAGCGGAGTCATAAACTACATTATATGACACCGCAAGCAGCAGCAGCAGCAGGTAAGAACTCGAACACGAAACAGAACACCGCAGAACATACGCATAAAAAGCGGGAAAAAGCGAGGGCGAATTCATGGCCCACTTTTATTGGATTTTTATGATAAGCTCTGCGACAGCGACAGGCGACAGGCGGCAGGCGGCAAAAACTTTCTTCCATTCCCATGTACATATTTTTAATATTTTTTTATTTGGGGATGATTCGAAAAGCACTTTGGGCGCAAATTGCAGCTGTTATCGCTGATTAAATGGCTCAAGCACAGAGAGAGGGAGAGCGGGAGAGAGAGAGATATACTCGTATATGGGCAACATACGTAATGCGGATATCTGGCGAGTGTCTGAGGGGCGCACACACAATGCAAATCAAACAAACAATAAATTGAATCAGGATACATTGTTGAATGTAACAGATAGGCTGGGGCGGGCATCCGGAGACAATGGAGCTCCCATTGGAGCACCAGGCAGCGAGAGAGAGAGAGAGAGAGCGAGAGAGAGAGCACATGCACATCCTGGAGACATTAAGGATATCCTTGAGTAGATGCAATTTTCTAACCAATATAATTCATAAATTTATTTTCAATCCTTTCCGCACATAAATTTTCATATTATGCACACACACAAACACACACACACACTGGCACACAGATACATCGGTCAGCCGGTCAGCCTGCTCGTCCCGCTCCCACAATATTCTTTCAGGCCTGCTATTGTCCTGCTGCCATGTCCTATGTCCTATGTCCTGTGTGTGTGTGTCTGTGCATTATTATTTGTCGTCGTGCTTGTCATTATTTATATGGGCAGGCGAGAGATAAGTTGCTGCAATTGTGGCCCACACACAGGGGCTGCCATCCACCACCCAACCCACCTCAAGCCACATCCTACGCCCATCTTGCCGGCAGGATGCAGTCCAGGTCCTGGCAATTACACAAGCCTAGAGAAACAGGCCCAGAGAGATGTCCTTCCTCTGTGTTCTGTTTGTTGGCCCAAAGATTTTGATTTATAAATGCCAACACCGACCCGTTTGCCCCATGCCTGCTGCCTTGCTGGCAACTCCTGCCCCAGGAAGTTGCAGTTACTTTTGCTGACAAACGTCCCCAGGACCTGGGCTCAGCGGCGGCTCAGCGGAGAGTGCAACTCAAGTGGCCATTAATATATCAGTTCAATTCATATTTGAAATTTTGCATTTCCTACCAGGACGAAGACTGCCTGCCTGCCTGCCTGCCTGCCTGCCCGCCCGCCTGCCTGCCCTGTGGACCTCGGCACAGATCCTTGTCCAGCAGCCATTGCCCCCAGACTTCAGCCTTCAGCCTCCCGCCCACGCATACGATTATGATTTGTGTCTTACTTAATGCACAGACGCACCAACTTTTGGGCGCACTGGGAGAATGCCAGAGGGGCCCTTTTGGGCTCAGCTTGGATCACTTTTGACTTCTGTACTATGCCTGTACTATGCACAGCCCCTGGTTTTCTCTCAGTGCATTGAGTGCATTGCCAAGCCCCGAGTTGCTGGCCCCGTCTCAATCTGATTGATTTAGAATTCCAATTGAGACTGCATGAAATATGTTTGCTTCGTGTCTGGCTTCTGCCTGATGTCGGCTGTGACTCCTTCCTGACCTGTTTCGCTCCCTGCTCCCCTGCTGGCCTCCGGTCCTACACATTTATGCATGGGCATATCCTTTTGCGAAATTTGCATTTTCCAACAATTGCAAACGGCAGCAGCAGCAGCAGCAGCAAGAGAACGAGCAACAGAAGCAGCAGCAGCAACAGCAGCAGGACAACGACGACGATGACGACGACTTATTGGTATTTCATTGATTTATGACACTTGTGAAACAATTTGGAAAATCACAGATTAGCAGCCAAGAGCCAAGAGTTTCGAGCACGGCACTAATTACACCCTACGCCTCATTGGCCAGGCACCTTCGCTCCGCTTGGGCTTCAGCTTCTGTTGCTTCTGGGGCTCAGTGGCTCTTACTCTCACCTTGGAGACGGTAAACCTCTTAGTGCATTTGCCGGAGGAACGAGTAACGAGGAGGATTCTTTGAACTTTGTCATGTAAATGGGTCTGGCAGAGCTGGGAATTAATTGCACACTCCCCGAGTGGAGTGGCACCAACGGGTGCTAAGCTAAGTAGAGGGCACGCTGCCACTGGAATATTTTACCTAAATGCCAAAAATAAAACTAAATAAATTTCGAGCATTTTATTTGTTGGCTTTGGCCTTGCTGTTCGAATAAACGAGAATGAGGATGAGTGGTGCAGGGTGCAGGGTGCAGGGTGCAGAGTATGTGATTCTTCTATCAATCATGCCTATTAATCAGAGCTTTTTGCACAGCAAAAAAAAAATGCTCCTACTAGTTTTATTCATATATTCATGGTCGCATTGTTTGGCTGCTCTCTGGCTCCCTCCGGCCACAGCAGTTGCTTCAATCCACTAAAGTTTGATGGCAGAAATGGCAACCAATAGTAGGCTTTAGGCATCAATCAAACATTAGTTTGGGCCTAAAGTCTCTATTGCATAGTAGTTGCTTTCAATCAATGCCATGCAATCATTGGCTAGCATCATTCAGAGTGATGTACATGCATCAATTACAGCAGCAGCATCATCATCATCCATAGGTGTAGAGCATCGGCAAGTGTCTGACAGACCGAACAGCATCCGAATGGAAGGCTCCTTCATCATCATCATCATCAGCATCTCTAACTCCATCTCCATCTCCATCTTCCTGAGGCATTCCCTATCAGCAGTGGAGACCTGCCTCGAGTGCAGTCGAACAATTGAACTTTCCCCCTGGCCACACACACTGTCTTCCCTGCTGCCCCTTCCGACCGGGCATCGTCTTTGCCAACTGCGACTCCAACTGAGATTTATATGTCAGCCAAAAAGGGTGGCATGGGCGTCCCCATTGTGCAGCCCTCTTTGTACGGCTGTACGTGCAGTGATTAG